GAGAGAGAGAGAGAGAGAGAGAGGGGGAGAGAGAGAGAGAGAGAGAAGAAAGGAAGAAAACATAAGGATCCATCTTTTTCATGGCAATGGACTTTATACATGATACTCAAAACATAAGAAATGAAAGAACTAAAGGTGAAATTCTGTGAATCAAGAGTGAAGACAGCCCTCAGAATCGGAGAAAATGTTTGCAGATCACATATTTAATAAATTTAATATCTGGAATGTTTAAAGAACTCTAAAAACCTGGTCTAGCACCTGTGAGGGCTTGGGTCCCATCCTCAGGGCTGCGGGGAAGGGACATTTCTCCAGAGAAGACTACAAACGGCAACAGGCCCTCGGAGAGACCCACCTCACACCCACACGAGTGGCTTTAATCAAGAAAAAAAATACCAGAGCCCCGCAGAAAGTGACAGTAAGGAGGGTTGGCAAGGACATGGGGAAACTGGAGCCTCACACCCTGCTGTGGGGCTGCTGCGGAACGTGGTGCTCCTCAGGAAGCCAGACTCACAAACCCCCAGCCATGCCACTCCTAGGTACAAACCTACGGGAAATGAAAACATGTCCACACACGTACTCGTACATGGACATCCACGGCAGCACGGTTCACCACAGCCCAAGGTTGAAATGCCCCAAGTGTCCCTGTCCATGGGCAGGTGACACGGCATCTGGGTACCATGGAATGTTATTCTGCCATAAAAAGGAGAGAAGTGTTGAAAATCCTGCACGGACATGGTGCTGGGAGAGAGGCCCATGGGTGTGATGCCGTCTGCACGAAGGCCAGTGCAGGAACCGTGGAGTCCTCAGGGACAGAAGGCACAGCAGTGCTCACCAGGTGGCGGGCCTCGGAACGATTAGGTAATGGTGCAGGGTGTTGCCACGGGGTCAGGGGAAGGTCCTGAAACGGGAGCGGGCAGTTGCGCAATGCTGAGTGCCCTAAATGTCACGGGCTGTCTGCTCCCTGATCATGGCCTGTTGGGTGGACTTCACCTTGGTCTGTTTTGTTTATAGATTCTGAGACGGGGTCTTGCTGTGTTGCCCAGCTGACCGCAGACTCCTGGGCTCCAGTGACCCTCCTGCCTCAGCCTCGGGAGCAGCTGGGACAGCAGCTGTGCACCACCGCACCTGGCCACCTGGATTCTGAAGAGGAGTGACAACAAGTAACACGTCTGTCCTGCTGGGAAAGTGGGACACTGAGGAAAGGGGCCACTTAGGTGCCCTGGCCTCCTGTCCCCTCTTGACCCTGCTCTGCCCTGGAGTCTGCCCTGCAGTCCACTTGGGCGACTCCTAGGGTCCCCACCACCAGAAATGTGACTACCAGGGAAAAGGAGCAGCCCTCCCCTTCGCCTGTGCCCCGAGGCCCTGCTGGCAGTGAGTGCCCCCCAGATCCTGCCTGGCCGCCCCTCCCTCCCGGGCCAGGCTGGCTTCCCACCCTCCGACACGGTGCCGGTGCGAGGGGCACCCTCGACGGGCTGGCGTGGAAGGGCCTTCACAGGGGGTCGGCCCACAGGGGGAGGGTGCCTTCCCCAGCAGACAGGCCGGCAGCGGGGTGTCCAGCCCAGCTGAGAGCCCAACTGCCCGGCTCTGCCACGCCAACCTCTGACCCTTGGACACAGTGAGATGATAACTGCTGGCTCTAAGCCACTGGGTTCTGCGGAGATTTCTTATGAGGGACAGGAAATGAGCACATCCTACGTCTGAAGATCTCGCCACCAGGCCCCTCTCCCAGAGCCCAGGCTTCACTGCGAGACCGGGATGGGGCAGCAAGAGTCGTCCACACTGCAGAAGAGGCAGGACAGAGCCGTGCCTCAGATCCTCCCAAGCTCACCTGCCCCTGCGCTCACTTCTCAGCCCCACTGGTCACCCTCATCACAGAAGGTCCTCGGAGGTCTAGACCTGAGAGATCAAGCCTCCAGCCACCACCCCCCCAAGTGTCCAGGAAGAAGGCACTGCACACGCAATAGCAGGCAGGCCTGAAGAAGAGCTGAGGGTCCCAGGAGCCTCACAGCCTGCCCGTTGCACTCCCGTCACTCACCTCTGTGGCTATAGGGTCACACCATCCAGGCCACAGGGCAGGCATGACCCAGTGAGACTGAGGGAGTCCTGCTTCCACCGAGGCCCAGTCTCCTCATCAGTAACGAGGGGGGGCAGGGAGGGCCCCTCCATGGAGTGCCAAGTCCTAGGTGTGGCCAGGCGCTGGACACCAACATGCCCAGTTCTCCCAGCGCAGTGATCCTCAGACAGAGGAGGCCTGTTCTCAGTCTGTGTCCCTTGGAAGTCCCTGGGGGCTGGGCCCTTGGGTCCCCACCTTGCTTGTGCCCACTCATGGCCTTCCCAGCACAGCACAGCAGAGGGCACAGGGCAGGCTCAGAAGATGGCAGGGAGGCCAGCAGGATTCAGCCCCCACCTGACCCCGAGGGGGGAGCCACAGGGCAGGGTGGACAGGGTGTGGGGAGGGGCTAGTGGACTTCCACTCTGGCCCAGGGGTGCACACCTGGGTGTGACCAGTGTGGGGACAAAGACGGGATGCGAACAGGTGAGCAGAAAGTGGGGTGTCCTCAGTGGACTGCAGGAAGGCCATGGAGAGAGGCTTCAGGGCTACCGGAGGGAGGACCCACCTCACAGGTGAGGGTTAGAGGCCAAGCCCCAGGCCCAGGTGGGCCACAGCACCCGGGACAGGAGACCCACACTCTCCTGCTGTGGCTCCCCTCCCCACTTTAGCCGGACAGCTGGCCCCAGCCTCCTGGGTTCCCTGCTCCAGAGCTCCTCCTGCCCACTTCTGCCTCCCAGTGACAGGTGAGGGAGAGGTCGCTGCTGCCACCGAGAACAGGACCTGGCCATCCTATGTCGGCGTCTGCCACCCAACCAGGCACAGCACAGCCCACACCATGCCCCCAACCCTCACCCCCCACACCACAGGCCACACCTGCAGAAGGCTGCAGCACAGGTGTGTCCAGCCGGGATGGGCCCAGGTCCGGCTTCTCCGCGGTCTCCTCTGCCCACTGCCTGGGCTGCCGCTCAGTGGGAGGGCCAGGCAGCTGTTGGGTCTGGGTTTATTTTCCTGGGAGTATGGAGAGGGTTTCAGGGAAAGGCCTTGGAGAAGGTGCATGAGGGGAGGCAGGGCTGGGCTCAGACCTGGCCACAGCCTGACCCTCTCCAGGCTGTGCTGGCGAGGGCTGCTTCTCACCACCCCTGCAGAGCCCTGGAGTCTGTGCAGAGGTGTGGCCCCGGGCCGTGGGCGGGGGGAGGGACAGGCTGTAGCAGTTGTGTCACCAGATCCTCGGGACTGGGAGCCCTCAGGCAGCAGCAGCAGGAGCCAGGCAGTTGGGGACCCCCGGAAGGGAGCTGGCTCAGTGGAACGTCTGTCCCTGGACTCAGCTTGCTTCACCTGACCTGGTCTGTCTCAGCCCCAGTCCAGCCTACGGGCACAGCTGGTTCAGGGTGGTACAGCCAGGCGTGGAGGGCAGGTGAGTAGGCTGGGACCTGGACGGTGGGGGCCCCCAGGACTCAGGGGGGGGTCTGCATGGCTCTCCAAGCCTAGAAGGTTCCCTGGCACCTGACAGGAGTGAAGCCGGTCCTTCCACCCTCCTGAGGTGGCTGCTGGCCTCACTGTCAGGAAGCTCTCCCCAGGTTTCAAGATCCTTTCTGGAGACGCAGTCAGAGCCTGGCCCAGCCTTCTGCAGGTGACACTGGCTCAGGGACCAGCCTTCTGCAGGTGACACTGGCTCAGGGACGGTCCACACACACTGCTTCCAGGAAAGGCAGGGCCACCCTCCAGGCTGCCCCCACCCCCGGGCTCAGCCCCTGAGGCTCTGCAGAGCACGTTCAGGACCTGACAGGACCTGTGGCTGTGACCTGGAACAGGAGGGCAGGGCTGGTGGACTGTGGTGGCGTGCTGGGAAGCTGCCCCTTCACCAGGATGGCTCTCCCTCTTCAAATAGAGGGAAGCTGGGCTGGGGTTTAGCTTGGGGCCACTGTGTGGGAACTGACCACTGGAGCCGTACCTGGAGTGGGTGCTCCCAACACCACCCAGAGCTGGGCAGCAGACCTCTCCATTCTCCCTGGTGGCTCCAGCCACACCCACTGGATGTGCCCGTGGCTCTAGGCCCTGGGATGGGAACTGAGGCCTGCTGGCATCACTGCCTCTAATGAGCACAGGGAAGGCAGGGGAGGGCTTGACATCTCCCCTGGGTCCCTGATCCTAGACCCCAGGTGCCCTCCGGGGCTGTGTGTCAGGTGCAGCCTGGCCATCCAAGACCCAAGTCCAGGTAAGGCCTAGAGGCCTTACCAGGTGCTGGGCACCCAGCGGGACCTTTCTGAAGTCGGAGCATTTAAAAGGCACTGCATACTGATAGGCAGTTAGTGAGGTGCTAAACAACTTAGTGAGATTGTGTCTCAAAATAGAAAATACAAAGAACTGTGGATGTAGCTTAGTGGTAAGTGCCCTGGGTTCAATTCCCAGCAACAAACAAAAAAGTAAAAGAAAAAAAGAGCAATAGACCTTACTGTGCTGGACATCTCAAGATGTTAGGGCACCAGACAGTGGGCTCTGAGGCCAAGGCCAATGCCATGCTGCCCCCCCCTTTACTGGGCCAAGAGCCCTCTGGAAGAGGGTCCACCACCCACTCTCTCCCGGACCCCCATCCTGGTGTTGGGATCTTTCTGCGAAAGTCAAGTTACCCACCTCAGGCTCCTTAGCCCCAGAAGACCTGGAGTGCTCCCATGGTCCCCAAGGATGGCAGAGGACAAATGGTGTTCCAGGCCCAGGCTGAGAAAGGCCAGTTCCCTGGCACCTCCTCAAACCTTAGCACCGCTCGGCTACTTTCATGGTGCCAATAAGAAAACTGGGCCTAGACACACCCCCGGAGGACAAATGTGGACTCCCTCAAGCTGGAAAGAGCCCCTTGGCCTTCCAATCCTACTCCTTCCGGGGCGGGGGCTGGGGGCAGACGCAGCTCCGTGGTTCTGGGCAGGGAGACTGGGGCTGGTTAGGTCAGGGCTGGGTTTGGGACTTTATCTGGTGTCGCAGAGGGCAGAGCTACTGCGGAAAGGGAAGTTGAGAGGGGCTGAAGGCCTTGCCCAAGATTGCCCAAGCTGTAACCGCCTGCACCAGCACCGCACGGCCCGGATGCGCGCAGGTCCGACGCGGCCTCAGGGAGCCGGGCGTGGGGCGGAGGGCTGGACCAGGCGGTGGGACGGAGGGACGGGGCGGGGTCCGCCGAGCCCTGCTGCGCGCGGTGGTGGGTGTGCGCTCCTGTCTGCTAGAGGGCACACCCCGGGAGTGCAGGGCGAGAGGTCCCAGTCCTGGAGGTCGCAGGGACGCGGCCAGGCTCCTGTCAGAGTTGGAGCAGAAGGAAACCGTGGTCTTGGGAGAGGAAATGAAGTGGCCGCGTCGCAGCCGGCGGGAACTCCTGGCCCAGCGCCAGAGGGAGGCTGCCGGGCGGCCCGGGTCGGGGCGCAGAGGAGGCGGACCGGCCGGCCAGAAGCGCG